GGCAGATAATCGGATGACCGAAAAAAAAAAAAAAAAGGGATGGGCAGTGCTTCTGTTGTTGTGGTTGCCACAGCCACAGTCACACACCATTCACTCCCTCCTGCTTCACCCTTGCCGTCTCCCTCTCTGCCACACACGCACATACACACTCGGTGTATCCCCTTTCCGCCTTTGACTGCATTTGTATATTCCATGCAGCAAGGCACGCTCACCTGTACAGAAGCATTTACATGCCCATACCAAAGAGTATTTTCTCACCCTCGTCTTCATATTATTGCTCATACACACTCCAGGCTTTATATATCTCTTTCTTTCTTTCTTTTCCCGCGGCTTCGTTTTTTTTTTTCTGCCTTTGTTTGCCCTTTGTTTTACATGCTTAGTTCCGCTGTGCATGCAGCTCCATCGGGCAACAATGCCGCCAACTGTCTCCTGCCAACCATTCCGTTCTTGCTGCTCCTGTTGCCGGGGCCGCAAACCCTCCTCCTCCCTCGACCCATGTTTCACTGACAACATCGACCCAGTACGGTGTCTGCCCACTGCACGGACGTGCACTGCAGGGATGAAGACACTGCGCTGCCACCACTGCAGCAGCAGCAGCAGCAACAGTAGCACTGTCAACAAGATACGCGCGCAAATCAAAAAAATAACGGAAGAATCGAACAGGCAAACCCCAATTAAAGAGAGGAGATATGAAGGTGTTGAATAGGCGAACGAAATATCACCCATCACTACCAGCGAAAAAAAAAAAAACAATCAATCAAAAAAGAAATCACACAATTGGTGACCAAATAAACAACAGCAATAAAATTAAATAACATGTAGCGTGAGACGACCACAAAGCGATTATTCTGCTGCTCAAACATTGCCCCATCTCCAGTCCCCCCTGTTTGTGTAGAAGCACTGAATAGAGCCTCACGTTTCTCATTCTCTCGCGTTATGATTTTTTTCGTTTTTTTAGTTTGATATTGTGTTTGCCGCACCGCAACTTTATACATATATATATATATATGTATATATATGTATATGGGCATATGTGTGTGTGTGTGTACTGGTGGACCTCTGTGTGTGGATGTGTGCTCACCATCAATGAAGCACTATGTGCTGCTCTCTGTGTGTGTTGCGGGCATGTGCGCCCGTGGGCCAAAGGCAAAAAAGGGAATACGGGGCCGTGCGCAGCGGCAAAGAGCCCCCCGCACACACACAGTGAGTGAGAGAGAGAGAGCGACACACACATCTACACACGGGGGTGGGGCCGAAAGACAAGATCCAAAAATAAGTGGGAAGTAGAAATATGGTAGGAGAGAATAGGAAACAAACAAGGAACACACACACACACACACACACACACACACACACACACAC